GAGAGGGAGAAGCAGGCCTCCCGCCGAGCAGGGAGCCCGATGCGGGGCTCGATCCCAGGACCCTGGGATCATGACCCGAGCCAAAGGCAGACGCTCAATGACTGAGCCACCCAGGCCCCCGGCACCTATTCTTTTATAGATGGCACTGGAGCACAGATTACTGTTCTCAAACTACCCAACATTAAAATCGAGCACTGCCAGCACCCCTTGAGACCTCAGGGGCCGCCTAACACACTGTCATCCTTGGTTATAAAAGGTCTCATAGCGCCCTCTAGTTGTGGTGTCTGTAAGTTGTCTCCATCCAGCCGGATGACTAAAGAAGGGTCGTGTCTGCTCCTCTGTATCCAGTGCAAGTCATAACACGGCCATTACAATTATGTAATATGCCATCAGTCAGTGTCTGTGACTGGACTTGATGTTTGCATAAACTGTATGCTTCGTTTCAAGATTGTGAGAAGTTGAAACAACCACAGTCCCCTGTCCCTCCCAGAGTAGCTGACGGTGGACAGGTGGTACTTAGTGTTAGACTCATTTTGCAACTGGTTATAGATTTACTTCCAGCCTCAGTGCCGGGATGATTCAAGTTTCTGCTTCTATGGCTCATTCAAATGCAACCCACAGCTCTTAAGGCTCCCTAATTTCTCCATGAGAACATTAAACTGCAGACGGCATGTGGTGGCCCCATTAGGCTTCTGAGTAATGGAATTGGGTAAATGGACATCAGAAAGGCTCCAGGGGTCTAAATCTATGCAGCTTCCCTGGTCCCAGATGGAATCAACCCTTTCACTGTGACTCCCTGGGAATTCCTCAAGGGGCACGACGTAGGGGCAAATAAAAATGAACCCAGCAGAGAATTTGGAGAGTAGAATCAGATGAGACCTCTTTGCACGAGGTCCCATTTTCTTCTGCACTTGAGAGGACTAAGCTAAATTGGGACCTAACCTTAATTTTATACACCTTTCTCCTTCTTTTCCTCTTCTGCTTTTAATATTGCCTTTGGAATAGTGGCCTTGACTGGCATAAGGATATCTGGGATTTGACTTGAGTTGGGGTCATATCATAAGTCACTGAACTTGGTGTCACACCCCTGGGGTTCATATCCCAGCTCTGCCTCTCTTCTTTGTTCATTAGTTTGAAGTAGTGGAGAGGAGCATAAGCTTTGGAAGGGAGAGCTGCAGGAACCCCCAGCACCCCCTGCCCAAGTGTCCATTTGATTATCTATAAAATGAAAGTTATTGATCTTGCAGGTTTGTATGAGTACTCAGTGGCATGTTGTTTTTAAAACACTTAGCACAGGGGCCTGACATGTAGTAATAAACACTTAGTGAGTGGTAGTCCTTTATGAGTTATTATCACACTCCTTCCTATCTTCCTTCATTGACTAATCATTCATTGAGAACAGGGTGACTGACATTTAAGCTGGCCCTCCCAGGCTGAGCAGGTCTTGGCCTGAAGGGCAAAGGGTAAGGAGAGCAATATCTTCACTGGGAGGAGAGAGCATGGACTGCAGGTGTGTGGTGGGCTTCCAGGCATGGAGGAAGAAAGAAGGTGCAACATTTGTTTAATTTGAGTTTTTGTGTCTGAATTTCTAATATTTAAGTATTATCCTGATCTTTCTCCATTCCCCAGCCAGTAAGAATCCTGTTGACAGAGGCCCTTCACTAATGCGGTTTCATTCACAAAGCCAGACCTCATACAACTTCAGTTTGTCCCTTCCACTCATGTGTCCCTGTAGCACTTTGTCTCTCAGTAGAGTTTCAGGTATTTTGTAGACAGGCAACGGAGAGCATCTTGGTCTCTACTGCAGCTCCTTGTACTCGTGCTTGCATATACTAAGCACTCAATCTGCCTATTAGCTGTGTTAAATTTAATATAGTTTGATATTTCACTGTGACACATTTTGAAATAGTTGTTGCTGTCTTTTTTAATTTGATAATTAAAAATTTCTTCTATTTCAAATAAAGAGAAGACCCAGTGTTGAATGATGCCTTGGCCTTTGCATTCCAGCAATTTTTCAAAAGTTTTACTTAACTTTCACTGGATTTGAGAATTTACATTGAATGCAGAACCCATAATTATCTTTTTTTTTTTTTTTTTAAGGAATGTGTATTTGCATTCTTCCCTTTAATTCATTGTGAAATGAATTAGGAAGGGTAAATTTTTAATTTAAAATAGTTTTGAACTGATCAGCCCTGTCACAAGGCATGCTTCTTTTGTATTCAGAATTCTTAAACAAAATAACAAGCCACTGTTCATAGAGGTTATTCTGTGGGGGAAAATAACTAAATCCCTGCTTTGTTTTCTGTTGTAGGCAGTGGCCACAACTGAGGAGCCTGATGTGCACCGTAGGTGTGAAAGCCAGGCTGGCAGCAGCCTCGGAGATGAAGATACGCGTCTGGGGCCTGTGGACACGGATGTGCATGTGGGTTTGAACCCAGCTGCCTTGTGGCCACGGGCTCCCAGCCCTGAGAACATGACAACAGCCCAGAACGGCCATGGGCGACTTGCCGCTATCCCATGTTCTGTCTCTGATCCCAAAGATCCCAAAATGGTGACTTACCCAGCATGTCAGAATGGAGGCTGCAGCAGCAGCTACTGCGGGGAGGTGGAAGCCCAGGAGGCCAGACTCAGCCCTGCCAAGCTCATGCGCCTCTTCTCCGTGAGTAGGAAGAGGACCAGCACCAACCCGGAGAGGCCCCGCTCCATGGTCCTGATGGGAAATTCCTCCACCTGGAATGCCCTTGCCTCCTTTCGGAAAATGGGATCTTTCAAAAAACTGAAGTCCTCCGTCCTTCAAGGAATTCAGAACCGAGAAGGGTCAGATGCGGCAAAGGAAGACCCCCCGGAACGTGATCCAGGGAAACCCATCCCAAACGGTGCTGCAGTCGGAATGCAAACCAGCAGGTGCCCCTCCTCGGGACCAGCAAGTGACGCCCCGAAGGCAGGGCCAGGGGGCGCGTCGGACTGCTCCGACCCCGAGGAGGCCGACGACGCCTTCCAGAGGAGCACCCATCGGTCCCGCAGCATCCGCCGCGCCTATGGCCTGGGCCGCATCAGCCTCCTGGATTACGAGAAGCATCAAGGGTCCCAGAACCACGTCCGGCCGCTGGCCCCTGTCACCCAGGAGCCCACCGTGTGTGAGATCCTAGTGAAGGACTCCGAGAACAATAGCATCATCTACAGGAAAAGCAAGAGCACGGATAACTTGAACTTTCTGAAGAAGAGCTCCTTCAAACGGAAGTCCACTTCAAATCTCACGGACCTCAAGGGGGCGCCTGAAAAGCCAGCGCCCCGACGGACGCTAAGCAGTTCATCTGCCGACTCGGAAAAGTTCGGTGGGTCCGAGAGGAGGACGAAACGCTGGAAGAGCCCACTGCGAGCCAAGGACTTTGACAGAGTCCTGAGGTTTGTGAGCAGCGCCACCGACGCGGCCTGGAGGAGAGAGAGCCCCAGGAGCGGGGCGCCCTCGCCCGGCGAGGCGAGCCAGAGGCTGCAGGTGCACAGCCGGCTGCACGACGCCTACTCCCGCCGCGTGTCCACCAGCGCTGAGCGCGAGTGGAGGAGGTGCGCAGGTGCGCACGCCGGCTCGGGGTGCGGCCCGGCTGGGGCTCCGAGCCCCCAGGTGGACGTGGACACGGCCGTCTTTCCAATGGAAGCCACAGGCTGCGGGGCGGCCGGAAGTGCCTGTCCTTGCGCTGGCAGCGCCTCAGCGAGTCCGGTTGCCCAGGACTCCGACGAACGCCAAGCTGGCAGCCAGTTTACTTTCGAACCTGAGCAGCCGCTCACCCCCGCAAGGCCTACCACACCCAAGCCCCCTAGCCCTCAGAGCCCAGGCGCGGGAAATGCCACGTGTCCCAGCAGCCTCAGTGCGCTGTCCCTCAGTTCAGTGGACAGTGAAGAAAGGGCAGAGGGGCCTGTGACCTCCCAGGATTCTGTGCAAGCCGCGTGTGACAAAGGCAGTGAGGACGGCGCCAGCAGCCACCCTCAGCTGAGCCCCCGCCTGGCGTCGGGTCCAGAGGAAAGGAGGGAGGAGGTAAGGGCAGAGCAGGGACCTCTGGTAGGTAACCTGCTGCGGAAGGGGTGCCTGTCCCAGCACTGACCTTTCATCTCTCCTGGAGGTTGCCCGTAGGCTGGGGTGTTTGCCCTGGCATTTACCCTTTTTGCTTCACCTGCCAGAGAGGCAGGCGGCCCTGTGCTGATTGGACTGCCATCATGATTATTCCTGTCAAGCTGCTGTCATCTTTATCTCTTTTGAAAGGAACTGCTACTCTACCAAATTCCTTGAGATGGCACTTGCCCCACCATTTATTCAAAAGATACTTAACTGAGGACCAACCACATGCTAGATTCTGGGGGGAAAATGTTGATAGAGACCTCTCTTCCACTGTATGCAGCTATTTAATAGGGGCTCTCAAAATTTTGTTTTTTGAAACATTTTTTTATTACCCATAGTTTTCTTAATATTTTAAATTGTTGCTGTGTCCTTTCCAACAGACTACATATAAATGAGATTCTTTGTGTTAAGACACCATTATGCGTTCTAAATCTTTTATTTTCTAGGAATGAATTAGAAACCTGCAGTTTAATACCTGTCAACCCCTGAGTGATGATGGTTCAAAGAAATTTTTATGACTGTTATTGCAGTTATTTTTAGAGTAGAACATAAGCATCTCATGAATCAGATCAACTAATAACTGTCAAGTCTACAGGAGCAATGTTCTTTTCATATTCTGTCAAGCATCCAGACAACTTTCCCTTACTGTATAATTTTCACTTATTTCTAAATGCATTCAGTACATTACAGAGCTGAAAGATGAGGAAATGCATTCATGTGTATATATTGCCAACTATTCTTCACGTACATTTCTAGACTGTTTTACAGGTATAAATTGGTGCTTGCCATAGAAAATAATCCCTTAGCAGCTGTTCCTTCCCACTGATCCCTGGAGAGGACCTTGGTTTTGTTCTAATGCCTGTAGATGAATGATTACACAACAGCTTTTGCAAACTTGGAAGCCAGGATAGCCTGTGGATGATAAGATGAAGCATAATTCCTTCTACCCAACACCCAACCTGCCCCACTGATGGTTTAGAACCACCCCCACCCCCACCCCCCTGCTCCATAATAAAAGATTTGCATAGGTCTAGAGGTTCTTTATACGAAACATGGAGATTTTATTTTCTGCTTAATAAAATTAGTAAAGAATCATTAAAATATTTTCTTCCTGAGTGCATATTAAGTGAACATATGCAAGAGATAGTTTCTAACTTACTTTTCAGAATTATTTTGATCATTATATAGCTTTACCCGTATGTTTGCCAAGTGTAATTTAATTATATGTAGTTATATATAAATTAATCATATATAATTTAATTTCTACCCACAAGGGATCACCAAAGATAGAAAGCAGGGCACAAGTCATCAGGAGTGCACACATGTGTACAGATAATTCCACAAATTTGCCTCAAGATGTTTATCACGTTTTGAAGTTGCATTTATTTCCTCAAAATTCTTATCAAGCATATCAAGCTTCCTCTTGTGCTTTTAAAGTAAATGTCGTGAAGAAAAATATAATGATGATTTTGCCCAACTTGCATTTTACATATTGGTCATCTTCAGTGTTAACTTGCAGAGAAGTAAAATATATATATGATATTTGTCATATATATATATATATATGGTAAAATACACCCTGAAACCTTCCCTTTTATTTTGACATTTAGAAACAAAATGCAAGCATAATGAAACAAATAAACAGAAAAACACCTTACAAAATGCAGGAACTCCAACCTTTATGATTTATAAAGCAGTTTTTGTCTATCTTATATAGCATTACACAAAATTATATTTCAGTCTCAATATATTCTAGTGTACAGTGTATTATTCTGTACTTAATTCATTGACAGTATGGTTCTACTTCTATCTTTAAAGCTAGTTGACGTTATGATTAGTGTTGAGTATAAAAAAAGTTGAAATCTATATATATTATGATATTTAAAATAAGTATTATAATGCAGTTTTCAGTAAGGAGGAATAATTTTTAAATTTAGAACCATTTATTTATAACATGACACTCTCAAAGTGACAAAATAATCTTTGAAGATCTATTAACAGTTTAACAGGATTTTGTATTGCTGTGGAAAAAGGGTGGGAGATATTCCCCTACTCTTCCTTTACGAAGCATTGTAGAAAAATCACCTTGTTAACTTTATACTTCTGCCACCTAGTGGTCAGTTTTTTTGTAAGAGTAATGATCAGTTGAAGGACCTAAAATTGTTTTAGTTTAAAAATGCAACTGAGTATTTATACTGGGGACAGTGCCCCCTGTCCCCTGATAAAGGTATAAGCACAGGAATTTAGAGTGTTCTTGCTGGTTTTCCTACCAAGTCCTAGAATAGCTCTATTGGGTGAATTAGGTCACTAGGAAAGGGACCCCGTCCTTAGTCATGCAGTATAGATTCAGAAATTTGTGGTAATGTTGAAATATGCTGTAGGTGAAGCTCTTTTACTTATTTTTATTTTTAAAGATTTTATTTATTTTTCTGAGAGAGTGAGCACAAGCAGGGGGAGCTGCAGAGGCAGAGGGAGAAGCAGGCTCCCCGCTGAGCCCGACGCGGGGCTCGATCCCAGGACCCTGACAGATGCTTAACTGACTGAGCCACCCAGGCACCCCTATGTATTTAGTTTTAAAGATTGTATTTATTTTTTTCGAGAGCAAGAGCAGGAGGGTGTGCACACTCACATACCAGTTGGTGGAGGAGCAGAGGGAGGGCGAGAGAACCTCAAGCAGACTCCGAGCTGAGCACGGAGCCCCACTCGGGGCTCAATCCCATGACCCCGAGATCATGACCTGAGCTGAAATCCAGAGTCGGGACACTTAACTGAGACACCCAGGTGCCCTGGAGCTCTTTTAAATGATGAAAATCCATTGTAACTCCTTGAGAGGGAGCTTTAGTCTTTCAGTAGATTTTTTTTTTTATTTTATTATTATTATTTTTTTTTAGTTTGGTTGGAATCCTGGCTCTGCCGTTCTAAAGATGCCTTCCATTGAGTGAACTGCTGAGCTTCTCCTGGCCCCAGTCTTCTCAAGGGCAGAATGTGGGATAGCTTCATCTTGCCTTGGATATTTGTTGTAGGAACCAGGGGATTTATGCCTGTTAAATTTATGCCTGTTAAAATGCTTAACACTGGCTCTCAGTGTGCGATGATTACTATCCACTTAGATGATTTTTCCATCCTAGATTGACCTGACTTCTTGAAACGGGTGAATTAAGATCAGACTTTTCCAAAAGTGTTTTTTGACTGCGTTATAGTCTTAGGGAGGACTGTGAAGATCTTCAAACAGTTAGTTTGACTTCACATTTTTTTTTTAAAGCATGAGAGTTAGGTTCTAGCATGACCTAAAATTTATATGTTCATTCAGTATTGCACCAAAGCAAATTTGTTGAGCACCTACCAGGTATAAGACACTCAAATTAGATGTAGCTCTATAAGGATGTCAAGGACATTATAAATGAGCTAAGATGTATCTAAATCTTATTAGAACTGTGCAGAATAGATTAAATCTCACAAAAGAGGTAAAACCATATGCTGTGGGATTTCAGAAGAGTTGTAGTTTTTACCCATGTATCAAATCAAGGAAGGAATCTGATTTGAAGAAGGCAAGATGTCTACATATAGTTTCAGTGGTCACATATGCAGAGATTTTATGTGATTTGAGAGAATAGGAAGTAACATAATTTGGTTTGGTGTAGGGGAATGATCCAAGTTAAGATGAAATCATTAAGCCCAGATAATGCACACTCTTGAATTTAGAGTAAACAATCTCTATCTATACATTACTTGGTAAGCACCATGGAGTCAAGGATGTTTTGAATAGCAAAGAGCCAAGCACAGAACTGCGTTTTGGGGAAGTTAATCCACCATTGGTATAGAAGATAATTGGAGAGAAAGGTGACCGGGGGAAAGCTATCAGGAATTTATTGCCAGAGAGAGCTCAGAGGTAATAAGGCTCTGAAATGTGGGGATGGAAATAGAATATATAAGGAAGGAAGGAAAAGGAGTGAATGAAACAACACATTATAAAGACTAATGTACCTTGTCATTCGGTATTTACCTACCTGATATATATGCCAGATATAAGGAAAAGAAAGAGTTGAAGAAAAAAGGCTATTCTTGTTCTTATAGATCCACATTCTAATTGGTAGATTGGAATGTATACAAATAATTATGATGTAGTGTGGTGTTTCTGCTGAGGGATGTACAAAGTACCATGAAAGCACCAAAGACCAAATTATTAACCCTGGGTAAAGAGTTGCATAACTGGGGAAAGAGAAGTGTGTGGGGTCTTGAAGAAGATCAGGATGGGGGATGCAGGGGGCAGCAGTTGAGGAGGAGCGGCAGGGTCTTCCAGGCCAACTGGAAGAGCATGGGGGAGGGAGGAGGTACTGTCGACATAGGGAGTCAGCCAGAAGAGTTATCTAAGCCTTATTTTCCTCCCCTGTAAACTGGGAGTAGCTAGAGTACCTGCCTATCACATGGAGTTGTTGTGAAGATAAAATGAGATGATGCAGTTAGAGAGCTCAGCACTGAGCTTTGCATATAGTAAGTGTCCACAAAGATGCTGATCTGTGGTGCTAAGGGAACTGCACGTTGCTCACCATAACTTTTGTACAAGGTGGTTGGTTGGAGAAGTGGGAGATAAGATTGGAAAGTTAGATCTGTACAGAGTTAAAAAGGGCCTTGCTTGGAGCTTGGACTTTACCCTGCAGGCAGGAGAAAGCCAGAGAGGTGTTTACCAGGGACCGCAGAAGGGGACCAGCTACATAGAGAGGATTGGGATGGGGGCGGTCCTGGGAGAGAGCATTCCTCAATAGTCTAGTTCAGAGGTAATGAGATCTGTATTAAAACCATGAAAACAGAGAGGAGAGGTTACACTTCAAAATGATTTCACAGTTTATTTTTAATTAGCATTTGAATGTTCTGGGGGAGAGAGAAGTCAAAGATGATGGGGCGATCAGGAGGATACTCTT